GGATATTCTTTACTAGTAGAAGTCTCTCAGGCACCAGGACTTACACCAACATTTTGAGAATAACCACAAAGTTTCCCTCAATATACTTACCAAGTCACTTGCAATGAAGCTCTCATTCCCTGTCTGGGAAGTCAGTGTGCAGCATTTTTGATGTCATTGTTAATGAACCAAAGGTTGCTAATTCCCTATTAAGTCAACTCTCAACATAGACACAAAGAATGGCACATTGGTAATATGCCTGGACTCTACTGTCTCACTGATGCAGCACGTGTCCTAAGACTGCTCTCTGAATGCTTTTTTCGGGAAGACAAATCAGAATTTCTACATTTAAGGACTACCATTAATCTATCACTATTTCCTTTGGATTTGGAAAACTAGGAAGTGATTTTTTCATTTTCATACTGATTGAAACAATTAGGAACATTCTTTCAACTTCTTAAAGTTTTACCTCTGAGGACAGCCACAATTTAGGTCTATTCCATCTGCAAAAGGACAGACGATACGGGCAGCATCAGATAAAACCTGTGCTTCATTAGCAGCAAACTGAACAATCAGTGGGCGATCACCTAGTCAAAGAGAGAGCTCTTTAGAATATACCATAACAAGAACAATGCATACTACATACGAAACTTACCCTTACTAATTCTTCAAGTAAGTCAACATAATCAGGTCTTTAACATAATCAGTATAACAATAGAAGATTTAAAAAAAATGGTAAACAAGAATTCTAAATTTATAAATGTTTTGTTATTCCTGGATAAAGTCCATCCCTTGTATATCTTCCTTTCCTGCATAACTGAAAATAAATTTCTAATAGCAATAGTATTTTCAATGTGTGTTGCCACAAGAAAATATTTTTTAGCAGAAACATTTATTTCTAAATTAGAATCCCACTCTTTTTACAGAATAAAAATAGTCTCCAATGACAGAAAGAGAGACAAGTATTTTTTTTTAAAAGATCTATGCAGACTTCATTTCTTATATTGCCTTAAACTTGGATGTTCTGACACACAAAATATAAGGAAACATTAGGAAGTGTTCAGAATAGGGTTCTTATAATGGTGACATTTTAATAACCAATTAAGAAGTAAAGACATTCAGGGTTCATTTTTAAATATATTTTTAAAGTAAGAAAATCAGAAGGTTATAGTTCATAAAACCTAAAATGTCAGCAAGTCTAGAAATAATAAAGGTTCTAGCACCAACCTTAATTACATTCCTTTATCCATATCTGATTTTTTTAAACACATGCCACAAAAGCACCACAAGACCAAAGAAAACTCTAAATATGGGATTATAAACTGCAAACCTAATCCTCTAATTAATGGCTGGAGACCAAACTCTCCACTGCCTTCATGGTACAAGCCACAGACCATATCTCACAGACGGATACTCCTGGAGGAATTCTGCACTACTGCATGTGCATAATTAATGAACCATGCATAGTTTTAATGTTTTTGCACAGAAAAGAACTTCTGCTGAAATGTTGCTGCAGTTCCACCTTTTGCCCACTGAGGACGCTGTGATGCAAGAACAGCAGCAGCTCCCAGCAGCAAATAACTTCTGCAGTTCTGCCTTTTGCCCACCAGATGGCGCTGTGGCGATAGAACACAGCAGCAGCTCCTGGCCAGCTAGGGAAGAGAAAGAACCTGCAGATTTTTTTGCAGCGGGCCAGGTCAGGAGACAGGGACTATGGGTGACAGACAGCATGGGTTGCTGGGGAGGGGGGCATCACACAGGGGCTCATAAGGGCTAGTGGAGGAGAAGAGACTAGGGCAGGGGCTGAATGTCCAGCCCCCTGCCTTCACTAGCAGGACCAAGTACTGATTTTGCCCCGATCCCTAAGTGGCCCCCCATCAAGGATTGAACCTGGGTTTAGTAGGCCAATGCTCAAACCACTGAGCTATCCCTCCCTGTATAATTGTCAATTACTTCAATGGAACTGTAATAAAAATTTACACCAGCTGAGTTCTGCTCCTTAATTTTACAAAGGCATCAGAGGACATCTGAAACCTCCAAAAAAGTTGGCAGGTTCAGATAACCAGAAGAATTAGTCACGTAAAGCTAAGCGCTGAAGGTCCCAAAGAATTTTTAAAACCACAAAAAAATGAAGCCTTGAATATAAGGTCCTGTGGAACTTCTAAGCCTTGAACTACAAAAATCTTTGCTATTGTACTTATAAGCCCAGAAATACTAAGGGCAGGTCTACACTACTACAGGGATTGACGCTCTGAGATTGATCCACCGGCGGTCAATTTAGCAGGACTAGTAAAGATCCGCCAAATCGACTGCAGATTGCTCTCCAGTCGATCCCTGTACTCTACCCCCGACGAGAAGAGTAAGGTAAGTCGACCGAAGGTAAGTCGACTCCAGCTACATTATTCACGTAGCTGGAGTTGCATAGCGTAGGTCGATTTACCGTGGTAGTGTAGACATAGTGTCAGGTCTGATGCTCTTTATGTCTGCAAAGCTTAGTACCTCAGCAGCAGTGGTGCTAAAGGCTGGTCTACACTGGACACTTACATCAGCATAGCTACTTCTCTAGGGGTGTCAAAAATCCATACCCTGAGAGATGTAGCTATTCTGATCTGTTGACAGTGCCAGGTCTACAGAAGAATTCTTCTGTCTATCTAGCTACCGCCTCTCAAGGCGGGGGATTACCTACGCTGATGGAAGAACCCCTCCTATCAGCATAGGTAGTGTCTACACTGATGTGCTACAGTGGCGCAGTTGCAGTGCTGCAGCTGTGAAGCTGTAGCGTTTCAAGTATTGACAAGTCCTGTGAATCCTGGAGGAATATAATCAACCTTCAGTTAACAACCGGAAAACAGAAGGTCAACTAGATTAACAGAATTTAAGGCCAGAAGGGACTGTCATGATCCTCTAGTCTGATCTCCTGCATATTGCAGGCCATAGCACCTCACCCCTCTACTCATGTACTAGACCCCTAACCTTTGGTTGAGTTACTAAAGTGCTCAAATCATGATTTCAAGACTTCAAGTTACAGAGAATCTACTAAGATCAATTATTGCATAAAATCCTCTGAAAAAGCAAGAACATATAAAATAAATACCTTTGCTTGTTGTGAATTCACTGTCTCTAGCTTTCACAGATCTGACAAAATCAGCAGCAATTATCATTGGTGTATAACACAAATCACAGTTGTATTTCCTGACCAAAGTTCTGAAAGCCAACCTGTAAGTATATGGACATTTGAATTGAAACAAACAAACAAACCCAAAACATACATTGGTTTCCTAAATAAACTATTTTAAAATTAAATTATCTAAGTGCTTTTAGCCATACAGCACCTAATACAGTGGGGTGTCTAGGTATTACCACAGTATAAACAAATAAACATCCATGTTTTGAAGCATGTTTTCCAAACTGTTAAAAAAAGTAACCAGACTTATTTTTATACTTAACATATATTTACATGGAGAATCCATTGAAAGTGTATAGTTAAACATGATGTGTTACTTACTTTGAATATCGGACCATAGGGGCACATATTTTTACAAAGTGCCCAGAATGAAACAAATCTACTGGATCCTTTCGTTGACATTGTGTGGTTTCTATGGCGTCACTAATCATTTATGATTTTCAATACTATTTAAAATCTGGAAAAAGAAAACAATTTTTAAAACAGAAATCTTACTACTTATTCCCAGTTCTCATAACATACAGCAATGGATAACTGTTCAAAGTTAGTTAACAAAAAGGTTAATAGAATTTACACTAACTTCACAAGGAGGACGGGGGTGGTTAGGTTGGGAAGGCGTGGGAAAAGGTGGTTCCACTGCCAAGGTCTGGGGCTATGTCCTGGTGAGAAGTTAGTGTCCTGCTGTCCTCAGTTTATGGATTACATTATTTCTGTTTTAAGTATATCCTTAGTATGTGTCTTATATTTAACATTCTGCAACAGAAAGCAATACACCTACAAATATATTTTTGTTACATTTGTGCAACGCATGACTAACACAGAAATGGGTACTTGACTCTCAGCTAACTGAATCTCCTAGAAATACAATAGAAAATATGCTCAGATACTTGGAAAAATTAGTTTATGCCACAGAGCTTGAGAAAGGAAGAGATATAACTTAGAGAATTTTTTCACTTCAAGGTCCCACAAACAAAGACAAGGTTTTCATCTCCAGGCCAAAAGACAAAAAACATCAAGACACTTGATCACAGCCTTGGATAGACCATGAGACTACCTACACTTGACCAGAGCTCTACTGTACAGAGGATTTACCAATTTTAGCTCTAATTGCTGTCGTGAAAAATCCAATGCCCATGAATACGACAGAAGTATACAAGACATCGTCAGTGACAGAAGGAAAAGACAGGGAATGGGGGTAGAGACAGGAACAACGGGAAGAAGACAGTGGGGAGGGAAAAGGTAGAGCAATAAGAGGGCGCAGGGAACGATGCTGAGACAGGTATGCCAGGGTGCTCCTCTCCCCAGCGCCCAATACTGCTCCCCACTGTCCTGCCCCCATCCCTCCCCTCCCCTCCCCCCTTGTGCCCGCTCCCGCCCCTCGTAGCATCAATCTCCACTTCACCCGCGGCGGGAGGCAGGCGGAACATGCCAGGCCAGCACGACCTTTCCCCTCTGACCCCTCACCCCCCCAGCACCGCCCCTGCCAACAGACACCGCGGAGGCGCGGAATTCTGGCGTGGCCACTAGCCGGTCGCTTTTGGATGACGTACGGGTCTCCGGGAGCTGCCAGCATGGAAGAGGCCGCGGCGGGAAGCGGCGGTGGTACCCCTGCCCTGGGACTGGCTCTCGGGGAGCTGCTGGGGGACGGTGAGGAGGGGCTGGCGCGGGGTCCGTTGGGGGAGCAGGCGGTGCGGGGTAATAGTGAAGTTGGGGGCGGCGGGACACGAGTGGGGGGTGCTGGAGCGGGGGGACCTGGGCAGCGGAGGGTCTGAGGTGAAGTGAGGGCACCGGGCAGTCGGGCTCTGCTGGGGGCACACAGGGCTTTGGCGCAGCAGAGGGGCCCTGCAGGGGACTGGCACCAGGCTAGTGGTGCGGGCTGTGTTGGGTTTGCCAGCCGGACTAGGGACCGAAGGCTGCGAGGCGGAAGAGCTGGAGGCTGCGGAGGAGTTTGCTCTGGTGGCAGGGGATCCCTGTCGCACCTGTCTCTGCTTGCGTGGCTGTCTTGCTGCTCCTGCAGGTCCCCATGCACCAAGCTCACTGTCTGTCCTGCTGGCTGGAAAGAGGGGTAACTGCTCTTGCTGGGAGTTTTTCTAGTCCCTGTGCTTCAGGTTTATTGTGGCATTAAATGGAGTTGTTAGGAATTGTGTTGTTGCTAGTGGCCCTTACACACAAGAGATCCTGCTGTATATATTGTGGGGGGGTAGAAGGGGGCTCCTTCTGACTCAATGTCCTGTTAGTCTCTGTATGCAAGGCTTGCTAGCTCAGGAATTCCAGGTTCCTAGCCTGTCCTCTGATTACATCTTCCTCTCTCTAAGAAGGGAGAACTCTGTATTTAAATTGTGCTGATGTTAGTGTCATCTTGTTATGTGGATTGATTGCATGTTGGAATTGCAGTCTCCTCTTTAAAAAGCAAAATCCTATTATGAGAGTTGTCTGTATGCCTCCTCTTCAATTTTTATCATCATGGCTAGAATAAACTAAAAGAGTTAGGAGATGTAATAAATCATTGTAATCATTGTTTAGTTTTGACGTGGATCACAAATGAAATTCTTTTGGTGGTTTTAATTTAGTTCCATATAAATTAATCCGTTTACAAGATTGTGATATGATTTGATGGAGTCAGTTGCAATTGTCAGTTTTCTATTTGAGATTCTCAGTAGTTTTACTCTGGATAAAACTTCATCTTATTTAGCTTACAAAATTCTGAAGAGGAAATGGGAAGTATAGTTTTAGTGTAATGCATTCCTGAAAAGGTGGCTTTATCCAGTTTTGGATTTAGGCAACAGGACGTGGGCAATAAAAATGATGTGATCAAGCATGACTCCTTTAAATTCGATATCTTTGCTAATGGTTGCTCCTTAAATCAATGTCCAGTTATATTATAGAAACCAGACCACACCTGCTAATAGCATGGGGTGTAGGTCTAGTGTACCTGCAGTTCTTTACATTCTTAAATACGTATGTAACTTTTGTGGTATGAAAAATAAACAGCTTAAAATATATTTTTCAGAATGTTACGCTGATTTTTTAAGAGAAGACTTTGATGTAAAGACTTATACTTCTCAATCTATTCATCAAGCTGTGATAGCTGAACAGTTAGCAAAACTTGCTCAAGGAATCAGTCAACTGGATAAAGAGCTTCACTTACAAGTAAGTGCCAGGTATGTCATTTGTTTCAGGGCAATCGTGTACAAATATAGTTTAAAACAGGGGTCTCAAACTCAAATGACCACGAGGGCCACATGAGGACTAGTGCATTGACCCGAGGGCCGTATCACCGACACCCACCCCTTGCTGCCCCCAGCCCCACCCCTTGCTGCCCCCGGCCCCGCCCCCACTCCACCCCTTCCATGAGGTCCCGCCCCTGCCCCACCTCTTCCCTGCCCCCATTCCAACCCCTTCCCCGAAGTCCTCACCCCAACTCTGCCCCCTCTCTGCCCCCAGGCGGTGCAGGAGGGGTGCGGGGTGTGATGGGGGCTCAGGGCAGGGAATTGAGGTGCAGGAGGTGTGTAGGGTATGGCGGGGGCTCAGGGCAGGGAATTGGGGTGTGGGGTGCAGGGAGGGGTGAGGGGTGCAGCAGGGAGTTGGGGTGGGGGAGGTGTGGAATGTGGCAGGG